CAACTGCCAAGCTGATGTTGACCAACTCATTGCCATTTAAGCCTTCTGTGGTTTTCACTTTCTCTTCTGTGGGGGTCGTCCTTGTTCAAGTTGTTTATGATTTCTCTACAAATGTATAAAAAACTGAGAGATGAAATTAAAAAGAGGATTTCCATCTTATCACAAAAGCAAACTTCCAGGAATGCAGAATCTTCTCTCCTTTGAGCAGCAGTGGAAACTTCCCGAAAGGCAGCAGTGGCCTGTTCTGTTGACTTCCTCCCAGGGTTCAGTTTGGTTGCCTCAGCACAGTGAAAGGGATTTTAGGATAGCCCTAATCTGCGGGGAAAGACTCACATGCTTGCAGTTCTGGTGTGAGAAGTCCTTCTGTCTATGTGTTGCTTTATTGAATAAAGCTGTTTTGGCCAGTGGATTTGCAGAATAGGGCAAGGTGGTAGTTACAAGCAGATAGAGGAGGAGAGAGAAGGTGGAGTCAAGGAAAAGCCATGTAGCCACTGCCTGCGACAGACACCTCCACTAGGACCTGCCAAAACTTTGCTAGTAGGCCACAACCTTGTGATAATGCACAGAATAATTGAGATGGGTTAGCTTAGGGTATGAGTTAGCCAAAAATACGATTAAGCTATTGGACAAACAATATTGCAATTAATACAGATTTCTGTGTGATTATTTTGAGTCAGGGTGGTCAGAAAATGAGTTTGGAGCCTCCAACTATAGATTGCTAAAGGAGTAAGTCACAAAACAATCCCACATCAGTTTGGAATTATGATTAATAAAAGGGTTATTTATTTAAAGGGGAAAACTTACAGATCACTGTCCTAGACAACAGCCCTCTTGCATGATCAGGAAAAGAGTCTGGTAGCCAGAAGCAGAGTCCAAGGCAAGAAAGGGAGTGCATGGCTACTGCTGCCTTTTCAAGCCAAAGAGACCACACCCAAGTGGGCAGGTATCTTAAAGGCGCCACCACCGCCTGGCAGCATTTTTTTAAAAAGGCACTTCTGGTCAGAAAATAATTATAGATACTGTAACGGCGTAAGCGAATGCAGACAGATTGTCAAAATATAGACAGCTTTAATGGAGGAATAGACTTACAGAACCACTGTTCCCGCGGAGACCAGGAAAGCAGAAGAGCGCTGGGAGCACGCTCACCAATTTTATAGGAGAACTTTAGCCTGAGGCGAACACGCCCCCTAAGGGGTGGGACTTATCCCTACATCTCCCCCTTTTGTCTAAATAAGACAGAACTAAACCAAATACAACTATATACAATAATAACAAATAAATATAACAAACAATATTGAGAATCAAAAGTTTTGCTAAACATTCTATCTCAAGGAGTCTAAATAATGTAGAGAGTAACTACAATTATATAATCTTCAACTCCATCAAAGATCCGAGAAGG